ACGTACAAAATCCGACCAATTTGTTAAAACATTTTGAACATTATTTTACAAGCAGACACATTTTTAGTTTTTATTTCTTTCCGATAAAAAAAAAACTGAAAAAGGGGTTCTGCTGTACAGTAGCATACGAGTGGGTCACTGTATAATGGATGGCATTAAATTTGAATTCAATGATATAATATCATTGTATAAGAAAAACGATTCTGAGCGGAGACGGAATGTCAGTCTAGGTATAAGACATAAACTATACATATCTATGGTATTAAAAAAAATTGCTCTATAATAGGTAGGTACATAGGTAGGTAGGTAACCTATAATAAATTTCAAATTAATCATATCACAATATCCATTAGGTACTTATAATGCATTATACATCAACAACAAACCCTGATACTATCATAGTCCATAGATATACAATAGTGTACTTTAAAAGTTTCAAGTACCCACGAATAATATCATACAATCACAACAAAATAACTAAAATAGTTATTCTAGGTTTTTTTTTATGTAATTTCGTCCAAATTTGAACTTAAAATGACTACCTATAAAAATAAACTGTGCTTGTGTATTTATTAGATTTTTTGGTAACAGAATTAACTACTTACGTGGAATCTTGATTTAAATTTTAAATCCTTAGATATAAAAGTTGAACATTTTATACATTTTTACTACAAAATAATTATTCAATTTTAAATTTAATACATCATTTTGTCAAAATTCGATCTTTAAATGTTTATAAAAAAAAATTGTGCATATGTATTTTTAATATTTTTCAACTGCTATTGTAACAATATATCAAGAGCCTTGTATTAAATTTTTACACTTTTGGGCCCAACAGATAAAACTTAATTGATATTTATAGAAAAAAAACTAAAAAAATTGAAAACTGAAAATGTCCGTAAACAGCTCAAAGAGAGTCAAAATATTTTCAAAATTGTATGGTGTATAGGAAATGCTAATATAAACATTCAGTGAAATTTTCATGTATCTACAGTCATTTGTTTTTGAATTACAACAAAATAAGGAAATCGGTACATGAGAAATCGAGTGAATATCCAATGTTGTACAAATTTGAATTTCAAACGCTCATAAAAATTTAATTTGACTTTCTTATAGACATTTTTTTTTTTGATAAATTTAGATAATCTTATAAGGAATCTTGTATTACATTTTAAAATCTTAGATTTAAAAAGAAAAATGTTTACAAATTCTTAACTAAAAAAAAAAAATGCTAATTTTTGTGATTTTTCCATATTTTGTCAATTTTTGAACTTTAAATGCTTATAAAAAAAAACTGTGACTAAGGATTTTTAATATTTTTCATCTGCCTTTGAAACAATAAACTGGAGCCTTCTATTGAATTTTCAAGCTTTTTTAACCAACAAATAAAATTTTATTGACTTCGTTCCACTCAGAATATAAAAATGTATGATACAATTACATGGTAGGTATTTGTTAATACAATTGAGTTTCATAATAATGGTATAAAAAATGATCAGCGTTTTCATTAATATAATATTTGTAATTTGTTCAATGAAAGAATATAATTATGATGCTATTAACAAACGATATACGTGTACCTACAGCTTATACGTGATAAATCAACTCATTTACTGACATAACAAAATTATAGCAACAATCATTATTTTTTTTTTTAAGTCTATGGCGTTGCAGCAACAGATACCTCATTATTCTGTTTACTTATAATTTTTTTATGTAATAATCTACTTCTAATGGCTTGAGAGAAAAAAAACGATTTAGTGTTGAGTGTATTTGAGTTATTATACAAGAAGAAAATTAAGAAATCGATAAACACCTGAGAAAATTTTTTGTTTGACATGTAAGTATTTAACCACCATCTAACTTATTGTAATATACATCGAACAAGTTAGTCTATCAAAACATCAATTATACTCATTGATATGAAGGAACGTATAAAAACAGAATGTTTAATTTTAAGAATCATTATTTGGCGAGAGGATATTTTCTAATTTATAGTAGGGTACCTACCTATAATATTATAATATTATGTATATTATACTGTTAAAAATCGTATATTTTGTAAAAGTAATACATTTATACAAACATTTGCCTGCAGGTGAGAGTACAACGTCAAAGGTATTGGTGATTGAAAGTGATAAGATGTAACGCGGACGCTGTGTATCATTTATATGTTATTTTACTAGTTTCCCGTCACAGATCCACCTCCCGCCGGCCTAATAATTGATAAGCTTTCAACCGCCAATATAGTTATGTATTATTTACTGTTTAACATACATTTTTCTTTACATATTTGAATCGATTAGAAATATAAAAAATCCTATAGTAATAGTATATTAAAACGGTTATACAGATGTCTCGGAATTAGGACTTAATATTTTAGTACTGCCTGTATAACTATATTTAATATTCACTCTACGACCGTACATAATATTATGATATACCCATCAAATCCTTTATTTTAAAGTTTAACAAAATAATAAAAACCAACAAAATAATTTATTACTTCCTAAAAACTAATCAGTTCGGTAAGAATGAAATCTTTGTATTATTTGCAACGTTTTAACCTTTTGTGTTAATTAGGTACCTCTGAATTAGACTATATTTAAGTAATAAAAGCACGATGTGTTGGAACTTCTTATGACTTATCGTTCACAGGAATAAACTTAATAGAATTTTAGATTCTGAGCTGAGCAATGATTGATACTTTTAATTTCACAATGATGAGTGTATTTATTTTTTATTTTTCGTTCGTACACGAACTTTGAGGGTGGTTTTTAGTAACAGATTGGATCTGGTTGGTACTTTTAGGTGGTCAAAATGGAAAGCGCTCATAAGTTTTCAAAAGCGTGGAGAAAAATAGGTGGGTTAGTATGTATAATTATAGCCTTTGTAATGGATGTGTTATATAAAATTGATATAACACATGTGATTTGTGGACCACGCATATTATTGTATATTAGATTTTCAAGTTTTTGACCAAATATTTTTGTTTACTATTATTGCAAAAGAAAAAAATGAAGATTCCACATGCTTATAAATAGTTCAAAAAGATTAAAATATTTTAAAATTATATCATGACATGACAGTTGTAATTTAAAGTATCTTCCGTTATCCCTTTTTGAATTATAATAAAACCGATTTTGTCTAAAACTGGTTTTGTAATTACCTTTTTTCATTAATTGTTGTTTTGTTTTCTCGATTATTTTATAAAGTAGGTACTGGGAATTATATACTTTTGACCTCCCAAAGTACCAACTAGATTCATTTTCATACTAGAAAAAATGCTGATATTGAAATTCAAAACATTTTAACTGCTCCAAAAGTTGGCGACAGACATAAAAAAATAACACTAAGCATTGTAAAATGATAATATATCCATCGCACCGCTCGGATACTAAAGCCGAGACCACAATAGTAAAAATTTAAGTTGTGCATACAAGTTACCACACAGAATTCGTTGGCCTATGGGTTTTTTATTATTATACATTGTAAATTTTTCCAAATGATGCCGCACCTTAAAATTTACTTATTTAGTACAGACCTATAGTGAATTACAAATAAGTTTAAAAGCTATACATCGTCAAATAATAACGAATGATTTATTCATATGATCAATAATAAATAATAATATTATATAAAGAAAATATTTTAAGAAAAATATAATATTGACGTGTAATTTTGTTTTTAGGCCATAATTAACTGCATATTTTAAATTTTTGATGCACCAATTTTTAAATGCATATTTTATGTTTTTTATTTCATAAGTCCTTGATCTAATATACCAAATCAATGATACTAAATATAAAAAGTGTCAATAGTTTATCGCACTGCATGATCAAAGAAGAGTAAAATACTAGTACTTAACTAATAAGTAATAAGTGTGTGGACTGCAGAGGAGCTTCCAAAAATGTAGTATTGTTCAATTGTTTTTCTAACATTAGTCCACTACTACATTTAAAACACGTGTGTAGAAGTTGTTTTCCGTTTTGTTATCAAAATGGTAATTGCAAAATATTTGGTCTCACGACTGAATTACATAATAATACCATTTGGGAACCGTGTCACGCTGTGCCGCCGCCGCCTCAGAGGTTCTCCGTTAACTGCGCAGTGGAGCACCGAGCGAAACGTAATTTTAGGGACTATACATAGCATAACATTAAATGTGTCGAAAATCGTAATTTTAAGATATAAAAACTCAGTGGATTTGCGTATCATAAATTATTCGAAAACTGTATAGGTATAATGTATACCTAGACACCTAGTTATGTGATAGCACAATGTATTATATCGTTATCGGTCCGCTGCGTTATACGTCTTATGAAACTATTGACCACAATAAGGTGTTATACTAATAAGTAGTAATAACTAATAAGTAATAATTATTGTATAACTGCATCATAGTAATTTATACGAACTTATTTCAAACTGTTTATTTATGCGATTATTTAAAAATAATTTTAATCACGGCTTGGCTTCATGCATTAATAAAATACGTAACATTTTATCTTTTGTATTATTATTATTTTTTCATTGATCATTAAGCCCGGCAACTATGGCCAATAGATGTTTTGTTTTTTTTCTTTGTTTGTAGGGGAGGGTACTGTTGGTTTGTAAACACGTGTGTGTAGTTTTGTCAGAATTTTTTAGTGGGCACCCGTGGGTATCTGCCATACCCGGGTGAGGGAGGGCGGCACTTCTCTCCGGACACGGTGATTTGCCAGAAGAAAAATGCCGCCCGTGAACCGATGTTTGAACCAGCGCCGGAGTGCGTCACAGCCGACGACTTAATCCGATGGGCCTCTCCGTCCCCCTTTATACTATTTACTATTCTACTCTATAGCAAAAATTATTTTTGGTAACTGGTAAGTATTTTTAGAGCTCGCATTTTATTAGTACGATAGCGTACTATCATAATTGAAAAGAAATATTTTCTTAAACAATTGTCATATACAATTACGAGTAGGTATATGGGTAGAATTTTATAGAAAAACGTTGACTTACCACATGGCTTGTACCGAGACTGGTTTAAAAATATGTTGGCGGCTGCATACGCTAACGCTGAATCCTCTGAAAAATAAAAAAATATTTATCACATATAGCCAATGAAGAAATAAAAGAAAGTTATCCAAGAACAATATTGTTGTAGGTTATGAGCATGATCGTAAACTGTCGAAATGGAAGTAATAAAAACCATAGACCTTATTATTGTTATTTTTTTGTACAATATAGGAACGGGGATGTAGCTGGAAACCGATGATGCCTGCCGGCAAAAGACACCTATAGCTATTAAAACTGAAAAAAAAATTAACTTTGAAAAAGTAAAAAGGTGGGTAAGTATGGATGTCGCACTGCTGTATAGTAGGTTACAACGAGTCACTGTAAAATGGATGACATTAAATTTGAAATTCAACGATATTGTATACGAAAAACGATTCTGAGAGGAGACGGTTTGTAAGTGTGGATATTTTATATTATATTTATATTGTCGCTACTTATTATGAATACGGTAGCTGATAAGTTGAATTATTATAATAAAATTACAACAAAATAACTAAAATCGTTATTCTTGCTTATTTAATATGTCCAAATGTTAATATAAAATAACTATAAAAAAACTGTGTTTTCATATTTTTGAGATTTTTGGTTACAGAATAACCTTCTTACGTGGAACCATGTTTAAAATGTTCAATCCTTATAGTTATACAATTTTAAACATTTTTAATTACATAATAATTTTTAAATTTAAATTTGATACGTTTTATCAATATTTAAACTTTAAATGCTTATAAAAAAAATGTGTGCCTACGTATTTTTAATATTTTTCAACTCATATTGTAACAATATATCAAGAGCCTTGTATTCAATTTTCACGCTCTTTACCCAACAAATAAAATTGTATTAACATTTATAGAAAAAAAAACTGAACAATTGTAAACTGAATACCTATGTCCGTAAAAGGCGCAAAATAAATCAAACTATTTTGAAAATTTTATCAAGTATAGGAATTGATAAAATTAACACACGATAAAAATTTCAAGTGTCTGCGGTCAATCATTTTTGAATTACAACAAAATAAGAAAATAGCTACTTGAGAAATCGAGTGAATATCCAATGTTGTAAAAATTTGAACTTCAATCGCTTATTATAAAAATGTAATTTGACTTTGTGTATAGAAAATCGCTCAGATATAAACATTAAATGAAAATTTAATATATCTACGGTCATTTGTTTTTGAGTTATACCTACGGTTAATAGAACTGTTCTTGAATAACAACAAAATAAGAAAATCGTTGTACCTTTGACAATTTGTTAATTTACGGGTGAATATCCTATGTCTAACTTAAAATGATCGTAAAAAATTAATTTGACTTGTTGGTAAACTATTTTTTTTGTTAATTGTAAGAAAAGTAAAGGAGCTCGAAAACTTAAGAGGTCTTGTATACAAATTGTAAATCTTAGATATACATAATAGTACATTTTTTATGAATTTCAAGCTCAAAATAATTTGACATTTAACGTGATATTGATGAATTTTGTCAACATTTTAACTTCAGAAGCTCATAAAAAATTATTGGGGGTTTACGCTTACTTGACTTTTTTTTTAATTTCTATTAACAACAACTGATGAGGAACCTTGTATTACATTTTCAAGTTTTTTGACCGAGCGAACATTTTTTATGGATAATACAATATATTATATTGAAATGTATTTACCCATCTCCATCCAGCGTGATTGTGGTATCTGCCAGAAGTCTAAGCACCAGTCCAATAGTAGTACTCTGGTTACAGTCAAGACCCAAAAGGCAGGATTCCTCTTGACAATTTCCATTTATACAAGAAACTACAACTAAATATCTGGTACGGCCGGAATGTACGCTTTCCAGCTTTACTGCCTAAAAAAAACATTATAATAATTAAATATTACATTTTTGGTTTTTTTTTTAGTGTATTCATTGTTATCAGTGACGTCATTTCAGTTATCAATAGAGGGGGGGGGACAAATGTTTTGGCCGGCCCGAATAGGTAAAAAAACATCTACATATTTGATTTTTGTATGCTACCATTTCTATTAACTAGGTAATATAATTTTTAAATAGAAGGTGGCAGATATTTTATAAAAACAATTGTAGATACACCTATATCAATTAAAAATCTACAAACTATTATGACATTATTTATTGATAAACAAAAATATTAGTAGTTTATTAAAGGATATCTTATTTTTTTATTATTTTTGAAAATATATCAACTGCATCATTTACAAATCAATTTTACTTGATTCATCAAGTATATCGCCTATACTTTATAGGTATACGATATATTTACAAATTAATATTATTTTAAATTATAATATTTATTTTTTATATTGCTTGTTTACTAGTTCAAGTTTAGTCTTTTTATTAAACATACCTGAAATTGTTTTCCATTTTTGAGCGGTTTGCGGTAATTTTATATTTTTAGCCGCACCACCCATTTATTTTTTTAAGTAATTTTCCTCAAATTGAAAGATTAATGTAAAGACGCGTCTCGAAAAAAATAAATTTTAATTTAAGTAGGATAAGGTACCTACACCATACACAACTAAATCAACACAATACGCAGAACAGTTAACCATAGTTTACACGACTGTCGCAACTCGTAAGTTAACCGAAGTCGGGGATGAAGATCAATGGACCAAAATAATTAATAAGAGTGCCAATCGGTTGTTGTTTTTAGAATTTGTATAAATTTTAGATTTTAGAAATAAAACCATAAGGCCATACGGGATTACGATACTAATTATTATTATTGTTATACAATCACACAAACAAACATACATAAATAAATACATAGGTACCTAGTACCTACGTACAATGTGTACGTCCCCGCATACGTCTAATATTCCAACTATCAATTATTAGTAAAAATGTATCATTGTGACAATAATTGCTTAGATCTTAGTACCTACACAGGGCTGCAACTCAAATAATGAACTAAAAAAGTGAGAAAAGTGATCAATTTTTTTTTTAGGTGACTAAAAGTGACTATATTTTTTTTTAAGTGATAAAAAGTGACTATCTTTTTCTTAGTAAAAAACTATTTTAATAAATTATCAAAAGTATATTGCTCACTTGCATTTTATTTTATATATTAATAATAAAAAGTAATAATAATAATATCAACTCATTTGATATCTTATGAATTAATAAAACAACATAAATATAATATAATAGGCATTTGCCATGTAAATATGTAATAACTGCAATATAGATACTACATTAATTTAATAATAAAAAGGAACAATAACAACAACTCTTTTGATATCTAAATCGAATGAATTAATAAAACAACATAAATATAATATACAGGGTGTCCCGTGAGGATTTACTCATTGCGATATCTCCTGAAATAATAGAGATATCGTAATTCTGTTTTCTTATTAAGACTCACAGAGGTAAGCACTACAAATAACTAATTTTTTATTTTTTTTTTATGTTTTGGTAAAAAAGTTAAAAAAATTATTTTTTTAATTAATTATTTAAAAAAATAATGAAGATTGCCATTTTGTAGAGTTCATTTTTCTGAAAATATTGATGTTTCAACATTTTAATTTCATGATTTTTAATAATTTTTTTAATTAATAAGTAAAACGGCAAAAAACCGGTTTTTGTCCGGGCAGCGAGTCCCCCTCTACGGCTAATAGGTAAATCCTCACGGGACACCCTGTATATAATATCTAATCAGTTTAATTACTTCCTAATGATTATTTAAAATATGAGAGACCATTATGCCGCACCATTATCAAAGATTTTAATCACGGATGTATCACGACTATAATGGTACAATACAATATATGCGAATATTGTAAGGGTAAAATTAAATTTACAGAATTTTAAAAATTACTTGATTAAAATTATTTTTGGTTTCTTTCATGAAACATTATAATAAATGGCTATAAGTGAGAAAAGTGAGAAAAGTGAGAAAAGTGACAGTTTTCGAAATATAGTGACAAAAAGTAACCAAACCAAAAAAAAGTGACAAAAAGTGAGAAAAGTGACAGAGTTGCAGCCCTGCCTACATAGTATAATATTTTCTGAAAATATTATAAAATAGGCATGTTTTGGCCCTAATAAAATATAATAATTGTAAAACAGCAACCACTGGGCATAGGCCCATTGGGCCGCTTTTAAAATCAGACAGGGGCAAATGCCCACCTTGCCCCCCCCACCAAATGACACCACTGATTATAATTACTTATCTAAATATATAAACGTGAAACTACTTTTATGCTTATATAATCTGAAACGTCAGCTAATCCCAGAAACAGAAACATAATTTGGCGATAGTAACAGCATTATTTACGTTATTATTAAAGTTAATACAACATTCGTAATGAAGTACGCACCTCGCGGGGTATGCGAAAATATCTACCTGAAAATATACTGATCACAAGCGTGTCTCACGGGAAACGCCGGGCGGGATGGCTATAATCGACCGTGTCCTGACTGATCAACGTAGAGCCTAAATAATGAAAGCTTAAGCCTCTATATTTCACTGTAACTGTTATAATATATTAATCTCATAAGTCTTAAGATATTTTTAGGCAAGATATTATAGACGGAAATGGGGAGGTGTATGGTGATACATAAATATTTTACAATAGGGCAAAGCTGGGTAAATCAGCTAGTAACGTATAAATTAATTTGGACGTATAAGTTAAAATGGACGAGTAAGTGAGTTTAAACTCTTATAAGTTATAGTTGATACGAAAAAATATCTCACCAAAATGGCTAAATATCTATCCGTTTAGGTTATCAACATCAAATTACGTGTGTTAACGCTTTAATATATATATATATATGTGTATGTATAAAATATAATATTATACCGGATGCAAATAGTGACGAACAATAAATAACATGTCCCGGCGGATCCCTCGAGGCTATTGGTGTTAAGAGGTGAAAACGAGCAATCAGCCAAGCGAAATCGGTCGTTGATATATCTTTAATTTTCCCTTCGGATTAACACGCACACTACTTTAATCTACACATCGTATACTTGGGCGGCTAGGCTATTATAAGCTTATAACACTATTAACGAGATATTTTGAAATTGACAAGTAAATAGCGTCTGTAAAAAATAATGTACCCATAACTACCATCTCATGATCAGCAACAACATTTTATCCTTACCTACTCTTGTTATTTAAAATCAAGTTTTTTACAGGTTTAGAAACTTAAAACTGTCTGTTGTTGCTTAATTTTTTAAAACGGTACAATTTGTAATTATTGTTATTGTAAACAGATTATATTCATATAATAATTATATATTATAATATCAATAATATTATACATATATGTTATGTAAAGTTAAACCAAATGAAACCATAAAAATATGATGGACAAATGTAATTAATAAAATTAGTATTTTAACAGATAAAAACAGATTTTGAATCATTAAATTATTTTTATACGTGTATGTTACTCATTATAATTACATATATTATTACACTTGATATTACGTTTACATACGTTCTTACGAGTTACGACTAGTACGACCTTCTGTGCTTTCAGATTTAATTTTTTAAATTATATCGCCACATTCAATATTTTATATTTTTAAATCCGTTAAATAGGCTTTTAATTTCTAAATGATAATCTTAGTTAATACACAGAGTTGGGTTCAGATTGTAAAATAACTGGTATGGTTCATAACCATGGAAAAAAATTAAACAAAATGAAGGTTAATATTGTTTTATAAATTTACATGGTATATCGGTATATATTAGTATTATCGTCTTTAACAAATTAATTAAATTGTTTGTTTATATGCTAGTTACAAGACAATGACTGTACATTTGGATCTCATTACATTGAACAATAGAATACATATACTGTTACAAAGACACAATACACTTATCTAGGTGCTGAGAGATTTTCTGAATATGATCACTGTTTCATACAGTTTCCACACAAAATATTGAGCAGTATGGGGCTTAATGATCATATAGGTACATCATATAGGTACATATTACAAACCTAAGCAGTTGATCAAATTTTTAAGACGATTTAAACCTGCCATCAATTTTAAAATCTAAATAACAAGTGTATTGTATATACATTTAAAGTTGACCGCTAAATCTCCGACTCTAATAACATATTTATTTGATTTTAACACAAGCATGCTTTGCGTGCACGGCCTTGAATCCGTGAAAGTGAAATCAATTGTTTCGTATAATGTCAACCCCACTATATATTATAATATATCTATTTGAAAGGTATCGATTGTGCCCCATTAGAAATCCATGTGGGCACACCCTTCGAATGTTTCATACATTGTTCAGCTATCAACGGTAAAAATCAAAGAGCTCTATGTCATCACTGATGGCTCATCTGATGGGTGGGTCGTGGGTGTTAGGTTCAAAATACGCGATGATCGCAGTCACTTATAACGTCTTAAAAACCAAAGAAAAACTTTCTTCGTGTAAGACCTATAACATCAAGTAGTCATCTACAAACTAGTTTTAGTCTAAAAGTCGATTAACCACGATTTGCGAATTTGAATTTCATGCTATAACAATTATTGTTGTGGTATCCATTGTTTTTCATCGATCGCGGTTACTATTCTTATCTAGACCTTCAACAGTAATAATAATACGTTTACACGAAAAACCGAAATCACCTTGGCCTACAGGACGAAATACACGCATACGATTACGTGCTAACACTGTCTAACAGTGAGAAATCGACCAATTATCCGTTGGATATAACCTTGAGCAGATATTTGATAGTACGATTTTGACCCCTAAAATAATGATTGCTTCCAGCAAGAAGTCGTTATGATCGGAAATTAGCTAATCATTTATGTATTCAGAAATATACTGCAATGTGAGGAAGCCTCTTAACAAATATTTCGTTGGTATGCTTTTGAATAAAAAATATGAAATCTATTTTAAGGACGTTTTGTAGGGACAGTGTAACTATTACAAATTATAATATTGATTTGAGTTATGATTACATATGAACTAGGCACTCCAAATTCTATAATATGTATAATTCAAGGTGGTTTGGCAAATAATAAAAAAAAATCGATGATTGATCACTATTATTGTTATAAATGTTATTCTATAGTGATAGTCAATTTTGACTCATGTCGCTGCTTAAGTCACTATATTTAAGTATGAAGACACCAAATTTTAAATTATATTGCTTTAATTTTTCGTTCAATTAATTTTAATACACCTACATCAAAAAGTTTAATAAAATAAAACAAGTAACTATATATACATATATTATGTAAAGTAACGAACCACCAATGTCCACCATTAAGTATAATACATATCAATAAGTTTTTTAACAATCGTTAAGTATTCCCCAAAGGACCTAATTATTATTATTAAATTGTGATTTATAACTAAAATAATTAATTTTAAAATATATAAAACGTCAAAATAGGTTGAACAAGTATTGAAAGGGGGACGAGGTGCCCGAGCGGTCTAACGCGTCGTCAGCGGTGCTGGCAGTCGCGGGTTCGACTCCCGGCCACTGGGCGGCATTTTTCTCTGGGCAAGTCACGGTGTCCGGAGAACAAGTGCCGCCTCCCCCACTCCGGGGCATGGCAGAAACCTACGGGTGCCCCATTCAAAATTCTGCCAAAATACACCCACGTGTAACACCCCCCTACCGTTAAACAACCTACAGTACCAACCCCCTCTCCCAATGGCCTAAGTTGCCGCGGGATAAAATTAATAAAAAAAAAAGTATTGAAAAATGTTTCCATCGTTTTTTTTAAGAAATAAAATATGTAGGTAATCTTAGCAATCCACTGAAAAACATAGTATTGAATATTAACAATACTCTTTTATCGGAAACCAAATTAATCTAATGACACGTCGCGCGTCGGGTGTTATATACAAATATTATATAACATAACATTGTGCCAACAAGAATAACGCTTATAGGCTTATACCTGCTTTTCTTAGTACACGCACTAGTAAAAATGTGTGGATATAGAGAATATATGCAGCGGTACACGTTGAATGCATTTAAAATCGTTAACTTGCACGTTTAAGAAAATAAGCCACGATGGTCTATCTCCTTGTGAAGGTTGCACACGAGTCTAAAGTCGTGAGGACGTGAGGTAAAAGGATTTCGGGCGAGTGTAACCATATAGCAGGGCAAATTAAAGTACTTTTCTGAATGCATTGCCCAATATAGGATAATTATACAATTTAAATACAATCCACACAACACTATAATATGCTTTGTTGTATTACAGAATTTTGAGGGTGATGCATCAGTGGCGTTCTCAGGCATTTGCTTTTATGTGGGGAGGGGGGGGGGTTGTGGCAAAATTTTTAGGAACACATATAGGGGGGCTATCGGAGCATACAAACGGGTGCGTGCAAATACAGCCAATAGTGGGTGGGGGGGGAGAGTTGATAATTGTTTTTTTTTGTATATGAAGTAATAGTATAAGTACGTAAATTTTAATCAGCGGAAAAATAACAAAAGCAAAATTAACACTTCTTGATGCACCTACTTATATAATTTGAAAAATATATGTTTATTTGATATGGCTACCTAATTAATACTTAATCATAATACTTCACTGACATTTGGCGACGCTACAACTATATTCAAGATTTAGAAAAAATAAATTTTTCACGAATACAATTTGAAGTATACACCTGCATCATATTATAACATTCTAGTTTTTAAATATTATATATACCTATACTCAAAACCGTATTTATTCTCTCGGTTATTTATTTATATAAGTAAACGAAACTTACCATGTTCAGACTGTCATCGGGCCTGAGTATGTGGAACATAGACTGCAGATGTGCCTGTATGTCGTTGGCACGGGTCTGCATTTCGTCTTCGCCGGCGGACATCCGACTGGACGCCGGAGCGGACAGCGACTGGTGTCTGTGCGGGTGTAGAGAGTGATGGTGGTGTCTTTTACGGCGAGGCTGTTGCTGTGGTTGCTGTTGCTGTTGCTGGTGAGACGTGAGCGAACACAGCACCGCCGCCGAACCCTTGTTGGCGAAATAACACTCGCTAAGCCTGTGGAACATAGTCGAGACGGACAAATTAGGTGACTATTATTATAATGAACACATATTAAGGCTTAACATTAAATATATTAAACGTATTATAATTATTTCGTTCGATATTTATCGAGAAAAAAGAGTACGTGCAGGTCGCTGTAAATCCTATGCACAAATTATATCATATACTGTTATTTTTCAAACGTCAAGGAATCGTATACTCGCACATCATAATATTATAGGCACATAATATTATTATAATGCATTGTCTGTAGAGAACAATAATAATAATACACTCAACATCGTCGTCTATATTGAGCACTGCAGTCGTAGGTATATCGTGTCGTTTTTTCGAGGGGAGTGTGTGTGTTTGTGATTGATGAAGAAACGATGCGTACACTGCATATTATAACAAACGTGTAATGATAATAATGTGGTCGATGTAGGTTCCTACCACACGAAGGCACTGGGTATAAATCACGAACTGCAGCGATCGTCATAATAATATAAGAAATTCGATCCGCACAGACTTCTCATCATCGTGTCGGTCAGGCCATACGTGCACTTCCTATCGTGTTACACATTAATACATTATACGTGTATTATAGATGCTACAGCGGCACAGTATATATCGTATACTAAGCCCACCACCCACTGTACCACGGGTTCTAGTAGTCAGTTCTTAATACTTTTTACAAAAATCTCGATCATGCGTTACGCGTACGGTACACACACAAGATAATATTGGCGGATAGCGAACAGGTCCACTATCGCAGCAATTTAATTCTTTTACGGGGCTTGAAAAATAATTATTATGCTTTAAAAATTATAAAATTCTCAATATTTTATGTATAAATATAGGTACAACGTGTAACTCTTAATATACGTCTATGTCATTACTCATTAGTCATTATATAGGTAGTTAGACGGTTATTGCCAAAATGACAAACACGACGTGCAGAAAGCGGGAGAATGGTAACTGTATTTAGGTTAGGTGCACATTACACAGTCAAAAAATACAAATGCGACGTAATCGTGGTAATTTTCAACGTAACAGAGGAAAATAATAATAATATAGGATATTATCCTGACAAGTAGCTTATACAAATAGTTATTATTCAACATGGCGGACACGTGTTACGTATCAAGTGTAAATCGAATAACATACAACATATATTATTATATTTCCTTTATATATTACGATAATACGTTGATTGCCATAATTATACGAAAACTGTATTATAATATTTTATTTAAGGCACGGGCGATTTCGAAATATAGAAATAAATTATAATAGAATAACTATAATCTCTTTCTTTTGCACAATATCGCTATGATAGAAATTGATGGACTAATTATAATTATAATTATATCGTTTTCGTCTCTGATTTTTACTATTTTAAAACATTAATAAAATATTATAAATAATAAATTACGCACACTACGTCCACATAACTTATTTATTTAACAATTTATATATATTTTTTTTTTTACTAATTTATGATCACATAATATTATATCCTAACTGTGTTGACGTTTAGACGTTTATATAATATTGTGACCAACAATGTACTTAACTGTATTAAATACAATTGGATGGAGAAATACGTTAAACGAGTTTTCTTTTTCCAAATTATTATATTTGTATTCAATTTTAAATTGTATACGCAAAAAAATAATTTATAAATGAAGAAAATGAGACCTTTTTAGTACATCACTACCTGCATGTAATAAAAAAATAGGACAAAACAGAAGTAAAATATTACATAATATAGACGTTGGATTAATTTGAAATAATAAATAAATAAAGTTATAAACATAACAATAATATAAATACTACCTATAATAATTTAGTACGTTTTAAGTAGATGATGATTATTATAAAAAATTGTTAAAACGTTTAGATTGTTTAGAACATAGAGATTTCAAAAAAAAAAAAAACCAACAATATACGGGTTTGTTCAAAAAATAAACAAATAGAGGTAAGGTACCTATAAGGTTCACCTCCCACGAAATCTCTTCTGTACATCAACCCCTTTTTATATGTGTGATATATATTTTTCATAAATGCCATTTATTGTGCATTCAAGCATTTCCTGTTGTGCTTGATATAGTATAATAGACGATATGCACTGCACATCACAGACACAGCAGGTGGCACTCCTATAAGTTACACAAGTTCTGCAGTCATGCCCATTATTACGGAGAAAAATACTGCAATATAACATTATTTTTTTTATTTTTTTATTTTTGTCATATTTGTTTTATTTGTACAATCTGTATAAAAATATAATTACAATAAGCACAATGGAGGGGAAATACAATTATAGGGCATTGGTGATGGTTGGCTTGAAGAAGAAGCTATTCATTAATATAGCACTTCGTAAAATAATTTTTTTATTAAACAATTTTTTTTCGATAACCCATATTTCTGATATAATATATACCTATAGTAATTTCTGAAAACAGTGAAAACGTCCATGTATATATATTATCGTAAATCGAACAGAAACAGGAGAGTAGAGAAGCGTTTAAAGTTTACAGACAAGCAGACAGCAGTACATATTGGTGAGTATAGGTGGGTAACGATAATAATTCACGTAGTCTCTAAAACGGATCACGCCTCTCCACTGCAGATCCGAACAAATGCGCTTAAGTCATAAATAACTGATCAATGGTCTGCTATTTCAACTTCTTTTGGAAAAAATCTAAAAAAAAAATAAACTGCGCAAACTTAAGAAGAAAATGGGAGTTTGACCTTAAAAGTCAACCTGTACAAAAAAAAATGAACTAAAACGTTCACTACGGTAGTGCGGACGCATTATATTATCGGCTGGCAAGATGTCCAATTTTTTTGTATTTGTATTTTTAGTATAGGTACTCTGTGCGGGACCTATACTACAATACACCTACGTTCGAGTATAAATGTATAATATATATATCGCAGTAAGCAACATAACGGGGAACGGTCTGAAAAGCGATCCAATTCCGTGCACATATACTCGTATATTGGTAATTTTATTATTATTATTATTATTATTATTATTATTATTAATGCCACGGCGCATATTTGCGAGAAAACATCGGCTGCTGCGAGGCCTTAACCCGGCAGCACAACTCGTTTCCATCTGAGTGGTAGGTAAACCGGTTGTATATATATGTGTAAATATACGACAGCAGATTCGACGGTTGCGCGCTGTTGTATGCGTATTAATGTATTTTATGTATAAAAGTATATATTATTATAATACACCAACACCACTGCCCGACCGCGGTGTAATGGTGGAGAAAAAGCATGATCGAAATCCGAAGGACTCTAAACACACACACACACACAAGATGTCGAATAATATTTTCCTGTTATATAGCTAAAGCGGACGCATCTATATGCTGCATATTATATACGATTGGAATGGCCATAATATAAAACAATATTACACTCATTTTCCGCGTCAGGCCGCGCGAATCAAAACAATAAAAATTACATAAATACCAGAAACAACCGAATCGAAAAATTCGATTAGCGTCGGTTTCTAACTGAACGGAAACATTGCTGAAGCAGGTCAGATGCTAATTTCGATGAATGTACCAATGCATTATTATCACATTATTATACGCATTTTGCTATAGTATTCGTAAATTATACATCTATATTCTATATAGTCAAACTATTCTCACAAATCACGTAAACTAATATTGTATATTATATTTAAGATGAATTATGTAATAAAAATAAGAACAGTTGAACAACGAAAAAGGATGCAGAACAGCATAATGACATTTTGTGTCAAATTATAATATCAAACAAATATGTGATGTTAATATTTCTGGACTACAAAAATTGTTCAATTAGGATTAAACTTATAATAGGGATAAAAGATTTTAATATTACCAATTTTACTTTTTACATTTTATTTTTTGGAGATGATCCAGTTATATATGTAATATATCTAGATTCTAAGTGGATACAAATATGGTCAAGCCACCTAAGACTTAAGATAGTAAAACGTCAATTGTGTTAATTGATGAGCCAATATAGGTGTTGGCATAACTTCTATATAGGTTAAGGCTGTGGAGCTTGTTAATTGTTTGGTTATGATAACAGCTAGCATTAAGTATTATAACTATCGCACTAACTATATATAAAATAAAAATTAGATACCTAAAATATAAAAAAAAATTAATTTAAATAGGAAATAACAATTGGTATATCGAAGTAAATCAAACATTATAATATTGAATGTATAACTTATATCCAAAGAGATAGTTAACAGACAACCGTTTACACAATATTGTTTAAATAAGTTTGACTCTGGTGAATTATTTGTACAATTCCAAACATCTGTTCGAACACATTTTTATTGAGCGCCGTTAATTTGCAAAATGTTAAATGACAAAACCACAAAATAATTTAAACAACGTAATCTTCAAAAAAAAAAAAAATACAATAAAATACTAGTGTTACCTCAAATTGACTCAAAAATTTTTTTAATAATAGATACAAAATATATACATTAAAATATATTAAATTTTAATATTTATGTAATTCAGAACTTGTAAATAACTATAATAGCTAGTATTAAAAAAAGCATACAGTTATAGTATACTAACTTAAATCACATTTTAGTAAGAACAAAACCAAAAATACGAACGAAAAAGTGGAAACATTTATTATACACATTTGGCGCATTAATGTAGGTTTTTTTTAGATTTATAAAAATTCATCATAAATTAGATTTTGTTGTAAGAAAAACAAGTTATATTGAAATTAATAGTATTCAGTAAGAACGTCTGGATCATGGCCAAGGTCTTAAAATTTGATGATCAAACTTAATTTAATAATAATAATAATAATAATAATAATAAGTATAGTTTTAAGTTAAACGAGTTAAATACCTATAAATGTTGATTGCATATTAGTGATAATACCCATATACCTAATACATTATTTAAATTGTCATATATTGGTTTAGATATAAGAAGAAAGGGATTTTAGAATTATGCAACTAAAATATT